TTTTGGGTTATGTATTATTTATAGAGTAAAAGGGAATAAAATAAAGTTTTAGAGGTTTACAGAGAAAGCTAAACAAAAAGCCTTACAACACAAAACTTCAGATTCTTCCTAGCAATTAAGCAGTACTTAATTTATTATAATTACTATATACACTATATTATAAATGAAACATATTCTAAGAATTTCAAGGATATTATTACCTTAAAATGATACCAAGAATCTGATTAGATACAAGACGAATTGATTATAAAAAGAAATGATTCTGATAATAGCAAATTCAGTTTAATAATAAAAGGAATTGAATCTAATAATTCAAAGATATATCTTAATGGAATTAGAGATAAATTAATATCAGAGGTAAGTGAAATTTGTGAGATTAATTTTATTAAAAGTATTAGATTAATAGTGCAGATTTTATATACAAGAAAATAAAGAAATATATTACCAATTTATGATTGAAAATTATTCAGAAAGGATATGAAATCAAAAAATACTAATCTTACACTCATTTTTAACATACTTGAGAAATTAATCAATCTAAGTAGTAAGGATTTTTTGAATCATACTATCTCGTAAAGGCAGAAAGAACTCTCTTTTTTATGTAATTTTCTTGCTAGAATTTGAAATAAGCATATTAGTATACTAAAAAAAAGATATTGCAATGTTTTTAGATCATTCAGATACATCTGATCGAGCTATTGATACTTTATCTAATATGTAATTAAGTTCTATATCAAGAGAAAATTGGTGTGAAAAGAATGTTATATTTTCAATTCATAGAAATAATGTTACAAAAGAACTCTTAAAATATCAGACAAATGTAATAGTTACAAATATTAATGATTATCATAATATTTATGGATTAAAAATACTAACAATAATAACTACTAGTATTATTGCACATATGACTACTATCTTTGCTATTCTTATACTATAGAAAGTGTAATTCTAAAGAATATTACATATAATTTAGATACAAATCGAAACTATATACATAATTCATTACTTGTTAATACTAATTCTTTAATTTTTCAGATAGATAATTATTATATGGCTTTTCTTTCTCAATCTTTTAATGATCAATTTGCTAAACAATTTACTCTTTCTAAAGAGAATATATTTAATAATCTAATAATTTATTGTTATAATGCTGATATTCATAAAAAATAAAAAAATCTATAATTTAGTAATACTATATTAGTTGATTTTATTAAGCTTAATTTACATTCAATAGAAGCATAAATTAATGCTATAAAAACATTTGCATTCTTTTCTGAATTTCGCGATTATTTTAAGTATAATATTATTCTATTAATTGCTAATTGACCAGGTCAAATATATCCTCAAAAAGCAATTACTATATAACAAAGATAACAACAATCAAAAAAGAATAATCAGATAGAAATTTTAGAGTATATTAGTTCTTTTATTCTAATTATAGGACCTTTGCATGTATCTCTAAATAGTCATAAAACTGTGGTTTTATTATTTTTTGATTTTTTTTAATTTTGCATACAAATATATTTTTGAAACAAAAATAAGCTTGCTAATAAACCTTGTTCTTGGAAAATCAATATTTTATTACAATTAATATCAGATGCTTAAAAAAATGTTACTCCATATGTTAAAGAAAAAATTGAATCAATTTATTTTAGAGATATAGAATATCTTATATTAAAACCCTTTTAGATAATACTATTCTTTTAGTTTTAAATATTTATGTAACAATTTTTAGATTTAGTAATTAGGAAACATATATTGAAGCTTGTGTAAGATATAGTATTTATTTGCTTAATTTAACGAAAAAATTATAATAAAGCACTATTATTTTTTTCTTTCAGATATTTGATATTGGAAAAGTATTAATCATTCTATTCTTGATATTTTAAAAAAATATCTTGCAGCATTTAATGATTATCTTATAAAAAATTATCATTTATTAATTTGAAGATAAACAAGAAAAACAGATATACATAAATAATTATCAAAAACAACTCATATTATCAATTATTTTCGTCATGATAATGTATTTCAAAATGTATTTATTGTAACAAAAAAATATTCTTATTGTAAAAAAGATTTAATAAGTTTAACTAATAAAGCATCTATTTTCTTTTAGAATTATTTATAAAGGTTAATAATAATATTAAAAAAGCAAATAAATAAAAATTAATCAACATGAAAAAAATAAGCTTTTATATTATTTTACAGTTTTTAATATGAATGTAGATGAATGACATTTACTAAAGGCTTTTAGTTCAGAATATTTACTATTTAATTTATTAGAAAAGTGTCATCTCAAGGTTCTTGTAAAATATTACAATCAGTATCTAATGATTTAAATTCTTACATCTTAATAAAGTTTATTTATTTTTTATATTGTCATATTTATCATCAATATTGTTTACAATATCTTAAGTATAAATGTTTATATTATTTAAAATATATTAAAAATGAAATTAATAATAATGTAAAATCTATTATTTTTAGAATTATTAAAGAAAATTTTAAAGTTGAAATTGATTAAGAAGATGAAATTCAATTAATAGAAAATGATAAACCTGAAGATTTATCAAAGCAAATATTATTTGATTCTTAAGTTATAGAATAATTTAAAATAGCATTTGAAATATTTATAAACAATTAATAATTTTATAAAATAATACGATATTAATATTATATTATTTTAATAATACAATTGAACTAATCAAAATTAATTATTTTAATAATAATTAGGAAATGATCGATATAAAAATCGACTAATCATACAAATGTCTGTCATACTCATTGCTATTACTATTATTACTATTATCAATTATTATTACTAAATTATTATTCTGAAGACTATTTATATTATTCAATTCCTTTATTTTAAGTTCAAATTGTATTTGTAATTACTTTATATCAAATTCTATCTTTCTTTATAATGTATTAGCTTTAATTCATTCAATTTTTAATTCTTTCTTTTTAAAAATCATTTCTGCTTCTTGATTTTCTTTTTCTTTAATATTGTTAAAAAATTTAATATCATTAAAAACTATTTACTAAAAATCCTAGATTGTGATTTTTACGAGTTTCAAATAATTTATCAATTTTTTTTAAATCATTTCCACCTGACTTGTACTACTTTTCCTACTTGATTTTTTTTTTAATTTTATTATATTTAATTACAAGATAAGATAATTTATTTTTGATTTGTTTTTATAATTACCCAAAAAAAATTGAACAAAAACTTTTAGCAAAGTTTGATTTATTTTTTTTTTGTAGCTAGTAAAATTTTTCTTAAGAAAATTTAATAATAATGTATTCTCATCTTTCCATCCTGTATTATCTTTAATAGCAGCAATTTGAGAAGTATTTTTTTTTTTGAAAAACTTTTTATCTTATTTTATTTGATAAATACTATAGATGCTAAAGTAGGTTCAATTAGTTGTATTGTTTTTCTTTAATTAGAAAAAAATAGTTGTAAGGTAGGAGCACATAAATCAGGAGTTAAAGAAATAAGAGTCAAAGAAGAATTCAACGTAGGGACCAAAGAAGTAGTAGAAACAGGCATCAAAGGAGGAGCAGAAACAGGCACTAAAGTAGATATAAAAGTATAGGCCAAATTGCTATAGTTAAAATATTTGGATTTTTTTCAAAAACTTCCTGTAATTGTGAAAGTTAGAGTAATTGAAAAATAAATAGTAGATTTTGAATCAGACATTTCAAGGTGAACTACAAATTTGTTATTCATCTTATATGTAACGAAATGTAAAATTCTATTGGTTTGAACAGACAGAATTACTGATATAGTAAATAGTTAAAATCTTAGATTATTTTTATTTAAAAAATTTTTAAGACCTTTAGTATAAAATTTTATATCACATGATGGGACTATACAAATTGGTTTTAAAGTTAAGGAGTCATTATACACAGGGGTACTATTGAGTGTGCATTACAGTAACTGCAAGGATACTGTTGTTATTCAGTTCTTTCGTTTATGTATTTATAAACAATTTAAAAATGTGAAGGTTTTTATTAATTAGAAATGCGTAAATATGATGCAAAAATTCGTGCTTTAATCGGCGCTTTACACTTCCGAAATTCAACTAAATTTAAATGTTTAAGAGAAATCCGTTGTATATAAAAAAAAATTATTAGGACAGCCTGGCACAGCCTCGTCGCAATTGATCTGCGAAGACTAACTGAAATTATCTTTGGGCTTTTTCGGCGGAATTATATTTAATTTAACAATTATAAATTAAATATTAATTAATTAAGATTAATTAAGATTAATTAAGATTATATATCGTTGATATGTATTTGGAATAAAATAATCATAACAGGTCAGATTTAAAATTTCAAGTTTTTTTTTTAAAAAACAAAAAAAAATTGTACCTCCTGCCTTTTTAATAAATAAATATTTGCATCACTCATATATGCGATATATTTGATAACTTTCTGAGTTCTTTGGTTTTCATTGTTTTTTACAAATGATGTACGATACTAATACATTAATGGATAAGTTGATATAATTGTTTATGGGTATACAATTAAACGATTTCTTCATGTTTCAAGATTCATATATTTTTCAAAAACTAGAGGTTTGAAAAATTATTTTAATTATTTTTGCATAAATAAATAAAATATATAAATAAATTAAAAACGAGGATAAATAAACCTGTTGTATGAACATGCAAGTGATTGGGCGTATAAATTATATGTTGCAGCGAATCATATATATTCGGAAATTTAAATTGTCAATTCCGAAGAAGGCAAAGTGAAATAAGTATAAATTCTTATCTACATATTTGTTTAATAAGATAACTTTTTTTTTTTTTGTACTTTAATTTTTGCACACAAATTTATTTCCTTTTTTTTAAAAAAAAAAAATTCACCCTCTTTAAAGCTTTCCTTTTTATTCGAAAATCACAAAAAAAAAATAAATAAAAAAAATTCTTTTATTGAATGAAAGAATTTTTAATAAAAATCAAATTTTCCAATTTTCCAAGTAAAATATGAGTATTGAAAAAGTAGAAGAAATTATTACAGAACAAAGTAGTAATGAATATTTAAGTCACCATGATACTAATTTGTATCCTACTCTTCATGTAGCAATAAGTCCAAACGGTCAGCAAGTCGCCACTTTTAACACAGGTAAAATTTTGTTTTTAAATTACTTTTTTCCAAATAATGTTTTCTTATAATTTTATAATTTCTAATCATTTAATAATAAATAGTTACGCTTGAGTTAAATATGGGCAAAGTTAATTCGTTATCTGAAATAAGTCCAATAAAATGTGATGCACTTAATGATATTGACACATCCGCTAGATTAGTATGGTCACTAGCAATTTCCAATCCAATTGATCAAGTAGATAATGGAGATGTGCATGCTGAAACATTAATAGCTCTTAGCTGTTTCGATGAAAAAGATATGATGTTAGGAAAATCATTATCGCCAACTGCTTCTTTAACGTATCAACATCAATTAGGAACATCAAGTGGAAAAGATGGGGAAATAGAGTTTCACCATTCATCATATGAAGTTAATGATGAAGAAAAGGCAAGGGAATTGATTAAATCAATGAGTGCAGCTACATGGGTTATTTCAACATGGCGTGAAGTAAGGATATCGACGGAAGTTGATGAATTTGGTGGATTAGTTAGATTTTTAGATGATGATCCATTGGACCCACATACGGCCACAATACTTGTCTTAAATGTTAATGGAATAGCCAAAACGTCATTCAATATGGATAACATTACCATAAAAAAAACTCCAACATACGATGATTATTCTTCATGGTGGGAAAAATTACCAATTTTTCCTCAACCTGCTCCAAGACAAGAATTAATTTTTCCATTAAAGGTTCAAGCTGAACTTAAAAAACTCTATCAAAACACTCCATGTTTAGAATTATTAAGTAGGAGTATAGAAAACGATTATTTCATAATTGAAGATTATAAAGATAGAATGCAGGTGGTGGAAATGTATAACATGAGAACTAATCAATTAGAAATGGTATTTCATCAAAGAGCAGAATCTGTGGCAACTTCATTTGGTCATGGTAGTCCCGCTGTAGCCATTTCAAGACATAAAACATTATTAGCTTACTGTCGTGGTGCTAATTCAATTACTATTTATTTAATGGAAAATTCATTGGAAATTTCTACACAATGTTTTCCTCATATTGAGAGAATCCTTTTATTGGATTTTATAAATGAGGATGAATCACTATTAATTATTGCACAAGAAAAAGAAAATTCCCCCCCTTTGATAATTATTTGGGATTTATTTAGTTATATGGATAATGCTATTAGGGTATTACGAGATACTAAAAAATTATTTCCATTTCAACAATATAGATTAGTAAGAAATTGTGGAACTATTTTATTAATTGATAATTCGGATGGAAGTGTTATACCTATATTAAATGATCCTTTTATCAAAAATATACTTGTTCCGTCTTTTATATCGAAGAGAGAATTGATAGAACTTCGTTTACAATATCTTCATGATTCTGAGTGGGATCAAGCTGTTTGTCATACTATTTTTAATCAAAATGGAGAATATTCTGATGCTGACTCCGAATTAGAAAAAAGTTCTATTATAGTAAACGATATGGAACCTTGGGTACATAATAAAGACTATGGTCGTATCTCTGCTTTTCTGGATGATGAAAAAACAACTCAATTATTCATCGGGGAAACGACCTTACAAGTATGGTATAGAAAAAATAAGAGGTCAAAGAAAAGACTTAAATATATTTGGGTTATTCCAACGAAAGGTATATTAATAATTAAATCATTGGAAATAGGAAAACGTGAATTTAAAGTTACTCTGTCTTCACAGTCAACTCAATCTTATCGGGAGAATAATGTAGTTATCCACTGGCCATTTAAAAGGAATACTGTTGACGATGCTTGTTCTGCTCTCCGTTATTTATATGAGAAGAGAGATGATCCTGCCGGTCCAAAGAAACAGCAGCATTATGAAAATTTGGTTCATAAAATCGAAACATCGATTAGAAAATTTATTTTGAAACGCCCTGCCATATGGAGGTTAATCGATGTTAGATATAATGTGATGGCTAGTCTTGTATATGGTCGTCGTATAAATCTAGTGCAGCAAATCCTAAATACGAAAGATTCAGATTTTTCAATGCGTTATCTTCATACTCCACGTCTTTACGAATGGCCAAAAAAACCAAAAACAAGTGATTTGGAAATTGCGATAAAATGTAGTGAAGGAAGACAGAGAGATGTCGTGATGATTGGTTTCTTTTTGGATTACTATTCTGATAATGCAATGGATAATACCGGTTGGATGTTCACCGTCTCTCGTGCTATTCCCTTGTTGTTCGAGAATCGTTTAGGTAAGTCATCATTAGATTTTATTTTTTATTAAAAAAAATATATATATATATATATAACTTATATGTTATTTTGTTTAGATACATATGTAAAAGATTTGTTTTCTAAGCCTATATTTGGAACGAAAGAAATACATCTGGATGAATCGCATATAAATGCCAAAGATTTGCCAAAGGGTAAATCCAAGTTTATAAGAGCATTCGTCCCGAACACGGAATTAACACCTACGACAGAACCATCACGAATGCGTAACACCAAAAAATTACAAACCGTCATGAAGATAATAGACAAATCAAAGGACACGTAAATATACTATCAATATTATTTTTTAATCTAAATTTCAATCTAAAGTTTACATATACTTTTTTTCCTTTGTAATAGTTTTACACATAATCAACAATTGGCAGCGTTACAAAAAGTCATACCAGGATTGGATAGAGGGGATTCGTCAGCGTTAGTAGCGTTAAGATTAGTTCCATTACCGGACTTTACCGTATATCCTGATGGTACTAAAAATCAAGATATAAATTATCGTACGTTACCATTTCGATTATTACGTATGTTGGTATGGCCACGTGGATATACCATTACCAAGCCGTCAAAATTATCTCCATTCTTAAGAGTAATAAGAAAAGATAAGAATGGCATGTTATTTGATAATCCTGCAATGGAAGCTGTAATAGATTTTAAATGGGGGTCTGCACGCAATCATTTTATGCGTCACGCATTGTTATTTTTTTGTTTTGCTGGTTTATTTTGTGTATTGACCGGCGCTGTAAGAAATAGTTTTGTAAAAAAAACTATCGTTTCAGCTAAACAGGCTGATGATGACGTTGCGTTGCAATTTAAAATAATTATAAATATTATGGTTTTATTATTTTATTATCTGGGTTATTATCTTTTGGCTAGTGAAGTTGTGCAATTTATGCATGAAGGTGTGAGGAGATATGTTAGCGTTTATAATTTCTTTGATTTAGCTAGTATCATAATGCCTTTAGCTACATATACTGTTGAACTGATAAGAGAATCTAGAGGCGATGTACCTCCAAATCAATTAAAACAGTTAACGATTGCTATTGCATTTACTGTATTGGTACTATGGATGGAGTTGGTAAGTTACATTAGCAAAAACTAATTATTTGTTTTGATAGAGACAGATATATTAACAAATTTTTTTTTTTTTTTTTTTTTTTTTTTTTTTTTTTTTTAGTTCTTATTGCTCAGATATTTCTCAGGAACAGGAAATTTTATTTATATAATTATAAATATTATGCGGAACGTCTGGCCTTTCATCGCGTTCATGGGTAAATAATATTAATTAAATAGAAAATTTAATAAATGCCCTAGAATTAATAATAAATTTTAAATTGGTTTAATAGGTATTGTGGTATTTGCACACGGGCATGCAATGTAATTGTCAATATATATGTGTTTATCTATTTATTTTTCAAAAAAGTTTTCTTCTAACTTTCTTGCTCTCTAGGTATTTATTGCTTCGTAATCCAGATGGGATAGACGTCAAACCGAATGGATCACAGTTTACTGTCACGGATCTAAATGGAGTTCCCCAAAATCAATTAATCTCACAATCTTTTAATTTAAGCGATCCTACAGATAATTATTTTGCAAATTTTGGTCAATCCGTAGCAGCCGTTTATTTCTGGATAAATGGACGTTGGGATCAATTAGAACAATGGGATTTTTGGCCAGTCGGTCTATTGAGTTTTATAGCTAGTGTTTTGTTGGTTATTGTTATGCAAAATATGCTAATAGCATTTATGTCGTAAGTGTTAGTTATTTACCGTTAAAAAGCAGAGATGTAAGAAATTAAATATATTTTTTTTGTATATTGGTAACTTAGGGGCGTTTTTGATGAGGCTAAATCGGACGGTAGATTAGCTGTGTTGAAATATCGAGCCGAATTAATTGCTGATTACGAAACATTAGAAAAACCATTTGGTGATTCAAAAGGTAATCCACGGCATATATTCTATATAAGTGATACAAATAAGATCTCCAAGTGGTTAAGAAAGTGTCAAGAATACTTGTCATTAAGAGCTTCAATTAGATTCAATGAATTTAAATATCATAATAATGTTGATAGTAATAATAATAATGATGATGATGATGATGATGATAATGATACTTCAAAAGAGGGAAGTAGCAGTGGAGATGCTAAAGAATGGGATATCACTGGATTGGATGTTGATAGTTATAAACAAAAGAATATTGAACGAATGAATCGAAAAAGTGGCATTGAATTTTATAGTAGTTGGAAGTCGAGTTCTAGTGATCACAAAGGATTAATTTCTGGCAAAACTTCTAATGGATCAATTGATGATAGGAATATTCAAGATAAGAAAGTGTTCTTTAAAGATAATATAAGAAGGTCGTCTTCTATTGATGATGGTTTATCTACGGTCGCAAGTCCGCGTGCATATGAAATTTCATCCATTAATGAAGATGTGAATAGTATTCATGGTGAAATCTTGACATTAAAAGACTCTGTGAAATCCGTTGAAGGTTCTATTGACAATAGATTAAATTCATTGGAAGGTAAATTAGTTGAAATGATGGATTTATTGAATAAATTAACTACTGCTAATAATTTAAATAGTTCCGGTGATATAAGTTCAGGAACTGGAAATATATAGTAATATTTTTTCTTTTTATTGAACAATTACAACGGCTATTTATTGATTCTATTTAAGTTGTTTTCTTTTCCTTTTATTTTTTTTTTAAAAAAAAAAAATTTCACAATATTAATATTATTGTGTTTAGATACTTTAATACCATTTGTATAATATTTTATTTTATTTTTTTATTTTATTTTATTCTGGGTTGGGAAAATTTAATAAAATATCTAATAATTAAATTTTTTTGAGAAGACGCGTTAATAATTATACACAAACTTCACAGGAAGTGATTCTACCAATCCTGGCAACTTATATTGTCAAGGGTACTTACTTGACAATCAGATAATCGTTAACAACCGAAACATATACTTGTAGACCAATTCAAGTAAACTTGTAAAAATTTTAAGATGGTCTTAATTTTACACCGCGTGATTTATTGAATAATTTTGATTCATGCGAGAACAATTTTCGGCCTGCATTAACAGATTAATTGTCTCGGAGGTACAAAAAGTATTAAAAAAAAACAAAATATTTCATATTTTATTGATAAATTACAACTATTATTAACAGAAAATTCTTGTTCATATCTAATTATTAAGTAATAAATCTAACATTTGGGTTTCATTTGATCTATCTTCTTCGTTCTCTACTGTTCTAATATTTTCCCATCTACTCTCAAAAATTATACTCCTATTTTTATTTATATATTTTTCACAGCGTTCTTTTAGTTTTAAGGCATTACAATCCTTTGCCCATTCTAAGATTTCACATACATTATTGACATTAATGTATTCCTTCTCCTTCATAATTATAAATTCTACTATATCTTTAAGTGGTTTACCTTCATACCTATCCGTAATTTTCAACAAATCAATAAGAAATGACAAACAATAACTAACATAATCCTCATCTGGTCCAAATTCGGCTTTCTTGCGTAAAATAGAATTTTTCGCTATTTCAAAAGTTTCTCCATATAACCATTGAAGGAATACTTGAAATGCATCTGATCGAATATCTTCTATTATAACTTTAACTAGACTATTCTCTATCGATTCGGCTGTGTGGCCACAAAACATTTTATGAAAATAACTTGATGCAGCTAATAAAAGAATAAATCAAAATTTTAATGAAAAAGTAAAAAAATAAAATATAAATATGTATATATATATATAAAAAAAAAAAAAAAATTATACCAGAAAGCACGTAACGATTAGCGCCAATCTTCGTTGAATTTTCACCGATGATAAAAATCACGTCATGGTGTCGTGTATCAGGATGACTTTTGAGTTTGTCCATTAGGTTTTTAAATAAATGCTCCTTTTGATCGTGTTTTCCATCTCCTCCATTCATTTCATTCTCGTCTAATTCATCCAACTCTTCCAACTTTTGAACTCCACCAAGTATCAATAAGTTCTTGTAAGGCATTAAACATTCATTAACTTTGTGCAATCCTGCTCTAATATCTTCTTCTATTCCAAATACAAGCTCTCTTCCTGCTAACCAATTTTCTCTATCGAGTAGATCTTCTCCATTCAAGAATAATTTCCTCTCGGTATTGATTCTCTCAGAAATGGGACGAATCAGGTTTTTTTCTTGCGAAAATGCGTTCATTTCGTCATAAATTTTTTTGATCATTCCTTTAATGACCAGATAATTTCCTGAAGACCTCCAAGAACTACTTTGTCCGCGTATTTTCTCAACAACTAAAAACCAATGATTGATAACATCCTCAACAAATGGTTTTCCAATTGTAGGATAACGGTCAATAAATGCTTCAGTAGGCTCAACACTTTTATCAAAGAAAGGCCTTTGCGTCCAACACACTTCCTTATATTTTTGAGAGCAAAGCAATGCAAAACTTTCAAATCCCGAAGTTTCTACCGCATTCTCATAAAATCTTGAGTTTTGAAGAAATTCTGATGGGATGAATTTGATGTGCATGATTTGATTCCATTGATCGACTGAGAAATTCAGATGATTCGAATATAAATATTCCAATACAAACTTTGCTCGGGTTTTGACCACAGACATGGGAAACCTGGTAGGTTGGTCAATTTGTGATCTAATCTCTTGTACGCATTCAATGAATGTTTTGCTATTCACCTGAAGCTTAAGACCAATTCTTTCTAGAGCCATCATCACCCTATGATTACCGCATAATACTGAAGGTAGAAATTTGTCGGTGTCTTTAAAAACATGATAGAATAAAGGAACTGTACTGTCGTATAAAGTATTTGCCATCACCAATTTTAGTGATTTATTAGGGATTACTGGACGTCGCGCAAAAAAATTTTCAATATCTGAATTCCCTAAAGTTAAAGCTTTCTGCAAGAAAGTTATATATTCTTGAGATGGCTCTGTAGTTATATATTCGTGTGGTGGTGTTGACATATAATCTTGGGATGGTGCAATTACGTGAATGAATATAAGCTCAACGTACTGTTTTTCACTTATGGAGGTAACACCTAATCCAAAGAGACTATGGTAATCAGGTTCATCACATTTATAAAAATGAGCATCTTGTTTAAATGAAAAGAATGGAAGAGTATTGGGAAGGAGGAATCCCGATTCGGCATCAATAAACTTGTTATCGTAAGAATGTGTCGCCCATATCGGCAAAGAACGAAGGACTTTCATAAACCTTTCTTGTTTTTGACCCTGTTCTGTTACGATGCAAGATGTTAAATTAAAAATTATTACCAATAAAATTATTATTATAATTATTAACTTACTTGTTAAACTTTTGTGATTTTCATAAACGTATGATCTAAATCTTTCATAATCCTTAAGTGAAAGATTACTAGTTTCAAATAATCGATTCATAGTCAAGTTCAATAAAACACAAGCCCTTTCCAAGGAATTAATAACATTCACTGGAGTGCATTGCAATATGCATTGCTTAAGATTTGGATTTGCAGCATCTGTAAACTTCATATTTGTGAATCGTAACTTTAGCTTTTTTAACACCGGATATATCATACTTCCTTCGGGCACATTTAAAACGGGATTATTCCCGTCAAGTCGAACAAGCACCTCCTTAGGTTGAATAATTGGTAATATAGGAAATTTCGAAAGTTTCCCATAATCGATAGCTTTAGCGAACTTTAATTTTGACCAAATTTCCTCTAGCCATTCGCCATTTATACCTTTTCCATTATGATCGTAATCCAATTCATTTCTCTCTTCATCTTTAAACATTAACGACAGAAGATGTAAAATTGCATCAGCGTCAAACTCTTTAATATTTGCATATACAGAAAATTCATTCTGTTTAAAGAGATTCAATAAATCTTTTGGTAACTTAACGGTAACAAATTTAGATGGCCTAACATTTGGAAATAGGTCTATATGTTTTTGTTTCCCAATGTAATAAACTTCACCAAACTTCCCAACCGAACCATCGTTCAACGGAACCAATGGTAACCCAACAAGTTCTTTAAAAGAAATATTATTATTACCAAGAATGTATCGAAGAAATATGAATATGGAATCTTGAAGAGTCTTTTTGTTATCAGAATTTTCATTATTAATCTTTCGTTCTAAAGAAGATATAAATTCATTTTCTCGACTTGCTCGCAAAACTTCACAAATCATTTGTTCGTTGATTAATGGTAAATCGAAACCTAGAGATCTTTTTTGTTTTGCAATATCTTTAATATGCTCAATTTTGTTCTTGTCAAGTTTCAAAATCGGAATTCTCAAATCAGTCAAAACATCAGCAATAATCTCTTCTTCACCATCATCAATTTTACCATCTTTTAATGGTACAAATTTACCTCCATTTGCTTCGGTCCAGAATACTCTATGACCACCATGACCTAATTTTTTAATGACAGTTGATCCGTAATTTTTGTACAGATTCGTAGTTACATTATCGTTGATCGGCCACAGATTTTTTAAAGTATGTGGAATGAAATCCGCCTTATCTTTTACATGTCTAATTTTTTCAAGCTCTACAATACGTTCGAATAATCTAATATGCAACGACGGTAAAATGTCAAAGAAAATATATCGATTCCATTTTGTATCATCGCACTCTTTTAGCAAAAAATCATTATCAGACTGCATAAGATTGCTTCTGGAACTAGACAGAGAAAAGTTTCCATTTAAATGGACCCCCAGATTGGTACTTATCGATAGAGATAAGTAAGAAAACATTTCTCCTTTGAGTTCAGGAGGATTAGGAAACTGTAATGTAAAAATTAATATTTCAATAATATGTTTTAATATGAACGTTGTAAAGAGATATATAATAAAATTAAATTTACCGATTCAGCTTTTAGTTCGTTCAAAGATTTTTCATTAGATTGAGCAAGTAATGAAGCAACTCCGCCTCTTGGCTTTATTGATAAAAGATGAAGAAAATTAACATTCTAATGATGTAAAATCAATTAATTCATTAAATATAAATTTACCTTAAAATTTTTTTTTTTTGAAAAATCTGATAATGCTGATTTAATAATAGTATTAAATCCTCCCGTGCATAAAAGCCATATTTCAGAAGCTTTTTTGTTTTGTGATTTGTTAATTTCGATCTCCATTTGATATAGTTGAATTTTATCGATTACGCTTCTACGAATATTGCGATCATCATGTGACATATTAATTCGAGTTTCCCATATCGGTCGAGGAATTTTTTCCTGTTCTTTTATGTGATGTAAGCTACATGATTCTATATTCCTTAAAAAGAGCATCTCTTTATTACTCTGAACTTCACTGAGTAGTTTAAAGATTTTTTTAATGTCAACAGGTTGATCTGAAATTTCACTTTTCTCTGCCAACTTAGAAGTTCTAATTGGAAGCCTAAACAATGTCCCATTGAATTCTTCTGAAAAGTCACAACCCATAACCTCATAAGGAAGACATTGATCTGGAAAATTTTTCTTAAATTCCTTTTCAATAAAATTACATTTCATGCCACCACACTTTCTAGGAGGAGACCCTTGTGCTGGAAGATATTTTGCACTTGGGTCTATAAATACAATATGTTTCCCACTTACAAAGCTAGGTATATCTGTAAGATGAAAAGCACAATTAAATCCCAGTCCAAACCTTCCAATTTTGGAATCATCATCACCTTTTCCTCCAACTCCAAGATTTTTCAAAGATCGAAAGTCTTTTTCGGTAAATTTAGCATCATTATATATCCAAATCGCAGGACCCTGCCAATCTTCTATTTCCTCAGTCAATAAATATTTATTAGAAGCATGATGCTGGAATTTTTGTCTTTCATCTATTGTTACTGAAAACTGTGTGGCTTTAGCATCATCTGCATTCTACGTTTGGAGAATACATGTAAATGCTCAGACGTCATTATTATTTTATAAAAAGAAAACATTTAAAATTTTATCACATACTTGAAGGAACTCTTTAAACAATTGACTTAATGGATAATCCTAACGAAGCGAAAAGATTTAAAGTGTGAAAATAATGTCTAATGTGGTAAAATAAATAAATAAAAAAAAAATACCTTAATAATATTTTTAATTCTGATAGTTAATAATTCATTTTGTTCATAAATCTCATCTCCAGCTAAAGATAAAATGAAAGTGGAGATCAGATAACGTGTAAAACAATAATGTATGGATTATGATTATAATAATTACCGCACAATTTTCCTTTCAAATGTTGAATTCCTAAATCTCTTGCCATGTGCTGGGTTACAAGTTTGTGAGTTATTTTGTATTCGCTTTCATTTTCTTCGTCAAATCTATCTCCGATATCATTATATTGAATTTCATGCCAGCTTACAAGTCTATTTTCGTTGCTTGGAACTAATAATCCATCCAAATTTTCTGTGTGATTTTCTCCTCTCTTACTCTTAAAATTCCTTTGATGCTTGGATATAAGTTCAAGAGCTTTAATGACCTTTTTAATTTCGTCTGCTGATAAATCTCTATCCATGTTTCCTTTCACCATATTACTAATAATTGTAATCAAATCCTTGATTTCAAGCTCATTTCGAACTCCCATTTCTTTGAATAAGTACCAAAAATCACTTTTATATCCTTCAGGAAGTTCAACGAATGAGGAATTATTATTTTGAAATTCATTTGGAAGACTAAAGACAACTTTATCAGTTGGATGTAATGTATTTCTGCATAAAATCCACGGATGATTTTTCAAACATTTCTTCATGAAATCGGATTCTCTCTTAGAAGTCTCATCGTTTGCTCGAAGAGCATCATTGATATATTTGTAAATCGCGTTACAAATCATTTCCAAATGCTCAGGTGGTTGCTTGTTAGACAAACTAACTTGACAAAACTCCAACTGCTTTAGCACCGTTTTCACTTCGGGATATGTATCCCATTTCAAATATTTTAAAAATCTCTTGTTCTTAACCTTATATTCAAGTAGTGGAGTAACCAGACAAACTAAATATTTATCTTTTTGACTATAACAATTTTGACGCTTTGAGAAAATTTTCTTCTCAGAAGCGTCAACGGTAGGAATCCATTCTGTTTCTAGAATAATCTTCAGTGCATCGTTAACTTTTGTCTCACGAGTATTCCGATTTTGTATAACAAACGTATCCCACTTGTCATCAATATATTTAAAAATCTTAAACGCTTTTGCGTGAATTAAATCTTCGCGAACATCAGGTATCTTCCTTTTTTTGACAATAGAATTGATTCGAGAATTAACATCATCTGGAGAAAGAATTGATCTCATCCCTAATAATTTTAAATTCGAAAAGAACTTGTTGGAAGCCGAGGCCTTTGGAACGCCATATTTCCCAGCAGGAAAGACTTGTTCTTCCTCAAAAAATAGACCAGTTACTTCCCTTTCTTCTGGATCAAATAATTCTGTTGGTTTAGCTAATTTTATGTTATCAGGCATTTGCTGCTGAAGTGACATTTTTAATGTGCCAACAGGTACAAAAGAAGTTCTTCCAAGAACATCCTTCAAGTTTGAATCATGATCAAGTAAGAAAGGTAATTTATCAAAAAGTTTGTCAATTACTATATCTAAGTCAGCTTGCTGCTGCAAATAAAGGAATGGTATTACATAATCTTTCCAATATTCATATGAATTTAATCGCGGAATCTTAATTATATCTTCCAATATGTAAGATAAATTTTGTGAGCTTGTACTTAGAAATCCCCCCTTGTTGCTTGGATAAATAACTTTTCCATATGTATTTTCATCACTTTTAGGTAGAAGATGCCAACTTTTCTTTGCAGGTAATAATGGGATTGAAGAAGTATGATCAACTTCTATAAAAATTGGAAGATGCTTAATGATTTCAATATGGTTCGAATTAAAGTGATACTTATTGACAAGTCGTAAGTGATTTGATAAGTGATCAACGAGCGTTGACGCTTCATGAATTTTCAATTCGTGATTCAAATTTTTTGGGTAAGAAGAATCGGTTCGTAAAGAATTTAGAACTGATAAAATATCATCAGGCCTAATAATATATCGAGTTACTCTGACAAAATAATAATAATAATAATAAATAAATAAATAGAAGGGTCATTTAGTTTATTAAAACACCATACAAAAGCAGATTATGCTGAAATACTTACTTGGCCCATTTAGAAACTTCACTACAGTCAAATTCATCTTCCACAAAAACAGCACCAAATTTTTCGAAAATAGAACTTAAATTAGTAGAAATATTCTTGCTTGTTTGATTAGAAAAGATTTTTTTAGGAGTATTTAACTTTCTGAGAGTAGAGCGGCTTGTCGGTAATAAAGGAATATCTTCAAACTTTGTTAAATCCCAATTTCTATACTTTAAGTTATCCCATAACTTATAAACCCATTCACGATGATCAGACATTTGTATCTCTTCAGAGTTTAATAAAGACTTTTTAATAATTCCGATCAAATTCCAGTTACGATCAACGATACTCAATTTCAATGAGAATCTAATCATATTTGCAACAGCAACTTCGTCCAAGACTTTAATGTTTAGATTCCATCCAGCTTTTGCACACTCATACAAACTTTGGTATAATCCGAAATCAATTGATTTGTCAATGAAATTGTCCAATTGATCTTTAAAGATATCGAGTTCATGATTTTTGTAGTCATCGCGTGGACAAATGTACACTTGAGAATTGCTGGAAAGTGTTAAAGTACCAAGCGTACCATCCGCGAGCGGGATCATTTTGAAACCTTCTAATTCATTGAATTTTTTGTCTTTTAATATGTAACCAAATAACTGAAGTATTTCTTTTCTCGATATTGTCAAGGTTGTATCGTTATCTTGTGTATCATTCCATCTATTACGATTATGGTTTAAATAAGTGCGAATAATGGCAGGAGAAAAATATCTAAGAGAACCTTCGTGATTAGAATCTTTTAATGCTTTAATGATATCATGCGAAACTAATATTACAGGGAAACCAATCTTTCCGAGTATTTTAGATAAACCGTAATTCGATCTCGGATCTTCAAAATAACCATTGGACAAAGATAACCAATGAAATTCTTGAAGCGATGACTTAAGATACGATTTTGCTGGTATATTAGCAACTTTTCCAATGGGGCTTGATGAAGAAGGGCCTTTAAATACACGATCTTCGACGCCAAGACAATTTATGACATTTTGCAAAAGATCCTTGCAAAATGTAGATATATTAACTGTTGAATTCCTTTCGATTATTGGCCAGAATCTATACAAATTATCTGGATTTATATCGGTGACTTTCAATGGGATTTCACGAAGGAATTCCGCCCAAGCCTTTGGTAAAATATTTTCAAATAAATAACGGTTCCAAGTAACTTTAAGACGCGCCAATGCATCAGCCGCCTAAGATGCAAATCAAAAAAAAAAAAATTGTATAAATTATTCGAAATTCCACAAAATATAATGAATATTATATGAGTATTGATTAATTACCAGGTCTTCATTATCTGCTGCTGACCATAAAGAACGTCGATTAGTACTAACCTGTTGAGTAAATTAAAGAATTTAATATAAAAAGATGATAATTATAATATGATAATATCAAAACTTCTTACCGCAAAATATCCATTCACAGAGACTTGAAAGGGCATAGATACCGGAAGAGGTAAGAAGCAAAATAATCTTCCCATAATGTTTAACCAATTCAAAGGGACAGCTAGTCCAACATTAGGAATAAACTTGTATTCTCCTATATCCTTATTGAATTTCTCTTGGAAATATGCTTCAACTTCATATATATCATCGAGATAATTCAAAATCAACCACGAGCTATCCTCTCTATTCTCCTTAGAATCGCCTTTCTGTCGAGAGAACGAAGCAACGTAAGTTGTATGTGATTGATTACCTTTACAAAGATTTTTTGATTTTAACGAATCCATCATTGATACGATTTTCTTTACTATCAAATGACGTTGCTCTCGAACTCTGTTAGCATTTTCCAATCGGATCGTATATAGTAAATTAGGTTCAGTAGCACCTTCTTTCAATTCATAAAACGAAATACATTCGATATATTTCAGAAATAGTAAGCAATTAATACTTTCATTCTCGTAAAATTTGTTAAACATTTCTAAAATCTCGTCAGGTTTATAAACTTTTTTTGAAATGTTCGAATCAGTAGAATCTTCAGTAGTCCGAAGAGGATAACGAAATAAAGTGCCTTTAAATGGTTTATCGCACGAGATTCTGAAAGGAGCAAATTGATGAGGATATTCCTTCGCCAAATCTTCTTCAACAAAGTCGAATTGAACACCACCTTCAAAGTACCATTCATGTGGATCAAGAATCACGTATTTATCACCGGTAATGAAAGAAGGAGAATCCGTAATATGATAAATTGAATTGAAGCCGACGCCCATCACTAAAAAAGGTATAAAAAGATTAACAACGATAGATATCTCTCAATAAAATTATAGAATGTAAAAACAATTTTACCTCCGATCTTATCAAATTGATCGCGTTTTTCACTATTAGCCAATTTCAATAGAGATTGAAAATCCCTTTCTTCAAAAATGGTATTATTTTTTGATAATAGTGCAGGACCTTGATATCTATCAAGTTTCAAATTTGTTCTTTGATAATTATCCTCCAGATCCGGTTCAAATACACTATTCGAAGGATAAGTATTATGATCCAAAATGAAAACTTGTTCAGTGCTTTTTGCGTCGTCAGAATTTTGGAGAATTTCACGAAGAACTTGTGAACCATCGGGATATTCTTCAAGAATTTTACGTAAACGGAGGGTGTAAGGTTCTCGAGGCTTAAATTCCCTCCCTTTTGATCTTTTAGGAGTACCAGGACTTTTCATTTTATTAGACATATTGCGTTAATAAGCGAAATATATATTTATATATATTTCGAATTCAATATTGAAGGCAGGTATGGAGAGAGAACTTGAAAAGGAACGGTATTTAAATATTTAAATATTAATCACCAAATACGGTTATTAATCATACCATTGTATCCGTAAAAGGTAAATGTATGACAATTTTGTTTTACCTATTAACATGCTCTTAAGGCTTACAAAACAGAGACTAGATCTGGCAAGGTTAGGTACGGAGTAACAATTTGGGTGACAATGTTTACATAAAGAATGAATATATTGTTATCGTAAACAAAAAAACCACATGAGATAGCAAATTCATACATAACCCCTTAATAAGAGTGGGGTGGGAAATATTTAGTTTTTGATTCAAATACATATCTTTTTGGAAGCTCTCCTTTAACTATAACGTATGTCAAAATAAACATGCCATTTGATCTATTCCCAATAAAGAATCAATCGGAATTTAACGAGACTTCTCCGTATAGAAGTGGGGGGATAATATTAAAAAAAAAATGATGTCAATAGAAAAATATAGGAATTCCAAAGAAAAAAGAGAGATATCGACTTTTGTTGCTGATCTGCATGAATTGAATTATTATGGTTACACACCGCACTAAACACAAGCGTTCCATTTGCTGATAAAAATTATCAGAAGAAAGCACATTGTTACATTTATATATTATCGCAAAGAAACACTAACAAAAATACGATCAAATTATTTCATCGAAATTTATACTATCGACATATATAATATTAGATAATATTCAACATTTTCATATTTTTAACTTAAGTATATTTATACATATATTTATTTAATTTAACTGAATTTTTAAATTTTTAAAGCAATGTATTTTTTACTAATAAACAAGTTTTACTTGGTTTATTAAAATTTAATTTATTAATTATTAAAATATTTGAGTTTAAATAAAAAATATAATAATCAATTAAAACTTTAAATATATAAAAATTAATACAAATTGTATTAATTGTTTTTATATTTATAATCTTTTAAAACTTGATTTGTCAAAACTTAATTGTAACTAATTTGATATTTCATAATAAAAATCTAAAATTATTTTATAATTAGTATAAAAATTTATTTATCTTATTTTTTGTAATTTCTTTTTTCAATTATAAAATACTTAATTATTTATTATATAAAAAAAAAATTATGAATAAAATGATCAAGATAACATTTTAAAATTGATAAGAAACAAATTTTTAAATTAATAAATAATAATAAAAATATAAGATCTTTATATATTAAATACAAATGAAAATTAATCTTAAAATCAAAATATTAGATTATTCTAATTACTTAAATTAAACCTTTAAAACTAAATATTATAATAATAATAATTAATATATAAAAAATATAAATTTATTTTATAATAAAAATGATATAATTTTTATTTAATTTAAATTATAAAATAATTTTATTACAAAATATTTGTAGTTACATTTTTTAATATTTAATTTTAATAATAATAATAAGGTTTTTAATACTATTAATATCATATATTTAATAAATTATTATATCAGATTTGTAACTTAAAATAAAAATTAAATAAAATTATAATATTTATTAAAAATCACAATGAAGATTCATAATAATATTAAAGATAATTTTCAAAATAAATAATATAAAAATATTTCAAAGATTAAACTTCAAAACTTCAAGTGAATATAACAAATTATATAATAAGTTAATATATAATTAAAAAAATTGTAAATAATTACAAAAATTAAGTTTTATATTTAGTTAATTATATTTCTTTATTAATACAATAATAAATTTATTATCCTTAAGATATTTATCTTATTAGTATTAAGATTTAATTAAAATATAAAATATTTATACATATTAATAATTAATAAAATATATTAAATTAATAAAAAAATTAAGCTTACATGAAATTTTAATTGATCATTATATTAAAAATTTAATAAAATTTAAAAATTATATAATTATCTTAAAAAATTAAATTTTAATTAATTAATTTATATTATAATTTTTAAAAAAAATAAAATTAATATTAAATTGTCAAATAATTTTTTATTAAAATACTTCTTAATAAAATTAAAATGATAATAGCAAAATATTATATCATAGTTAAAATAATTATGTTAGTTATAATTCAAAAAATCTGTTTTATATTAAAATATATTAATAAAATTTACTTATTATTAATTAAATTATAATACAGAATTTTTTTATATATTTTCAAATTCTTTTAAAATATTTGTAAAATCTTATGATATAAATATTATTTAATTAAAAAATTATTAGTTATCTTATTTAAAGTTTAAGTTTATAAATATGTAGAATAATATACAAACTGATAAATTTTTATTAAATTAATTTAATCTAATATATATTTTTATCAGATTTAATTTTAATACTTTAAACATATAACTTAAAGAATTGTAATAATTATTTCTACTTGTTAGAAATTATAGTTTTAAAAAATTCTTATTTTTCTATAAGTATTCAGAATTCTTAAATCAATTTTATTATTTATATAATTTAAATTTAAGATTATTTAATTAAACTTAATGATGAAATTAAAATAAATTAATATAATATATTATAATTAAAATTTATATAAAAGATATTTTTGAAAGAAATATATATATAAAAATTATAATTAATTTCTTTATTATTTATTTAAACTTATAAAAAGTTTACAATTGAATAAAAATTATTTTATTTATATAAATTAATTTATTATAGATAATTATTTATTATATTATAATTAATAAAATAAAAATTTATATTATTTCTTAAAGTGTAGGTATAAATTATTATAAAATATTATAGAAAAATTATAATATTTTAATATCTAATAATCATAAAAAGATAAAAAAAATTTATTAGATAATTATAAAAAATAAAATTTAATTTATTGTATTTATCTCATTAAGACCTATTAAATAATTATATTTTCATATTTTTAAGATCAATAGATAGTAATATATATAAGTTTAAAATTTTTACTTTTTTTATAATAATTTATTATATATTTATCTTTAAAATATCACTAATTAATTATATTTTTTTTTGAATTTTTACTTAGAAAATATCAGAAAATTTATTATAAAAATATTAATTTTTAAATAAATTATTATAAATAATTTTAATTATTAAATAAAATTATAGGCAAATTTGTCTGTAAAATACTTGAAGAAATAATAAAAGATAATTTAATAATAAAAAATAAATAAAATTAAAATTTATAGCTATTATAAATATAAATAATATTAATACAATTATATTTTTTACAATAACTCAGTTAATATTAATACTAAAATATAATTTTTACTATCATTATATTTCTCTCATTAAAATGATTTTAATAAATCCAAAATTATTAAAAATTTAATTATTAGTTAGCTTAAAAACTGAGATATATAAGTAACGAATTTTAAAAATCCTTCTATAATATACAATCACGCTTTGATATAATGAAGTTCTAATTTAGCTAATCAGACCTTCATTATAAGAATCTTTGTTAATACTATAATGAATTATTCAGTATGTATAACGAATAATTTGTTATAGTAGATAATTACTGATTTTATTACACAAATATAATTTTACTATGATATATATGCAATCTGTTAATCATTATATGATAGTTTTATTAATTTACTTAAAAATTTTATTTATTATTTTTTAAATAAAATAAAAATAAAATAAAATAAAATAAAAATAAATAAAATAAAAGAAAAAGTAAAGACAAAATAAAAAGAAATGAAAAAGAAAAAACAAAATTAAACGTATGATATAAAAAGAAAAATGAAATTAAATAAAAAATACGAAAAAAAATGAAAAATGAACGATAAGAAAAAAAATAAAATTTTTATTGTCTTACAAGTATGTCACGATTTCACTATCTATTTCAGTTTTACCTTGTAAGCATATCACGATTTTGCCTTATATTTCATATTTATCTTATAGTAAACAAATTATAATTTCTTCTACAAGTGTATCTCGATTCTAAAAAAGTAAATATATTTAATATAAATCTAAAAAATCATTTAAACATTTTTAATTATTACCTGACCTATTCCAGAATTGAGTCCTGAAGAGGTCGTATAATCTTTCCATAGTATAGGTCCACCTCCCACCTCTTCTCGCTCCATTTCGATAATTGCAAAAATCCTAAAAGA